TCCAAGTAACGTTCTCTGCACAAATCTTTTATGACATACATCCATTTACACAAAGGCCTTCAATATTGGATGGTTTTATTTATTTTATCAGAAGCATCTTGGTACTTTTTGGAAATAAGTAGATTCTTAATAAATCTACATTAATAAAAATATTGAGATCAACAAATGAGAATTGAGGAGAAAAGTATATGTGAAGGGAGCCCAATGGAAAGGAATAGCAGTTTGATAGTTTTTCCTACTCTGTAAGTTGTTTGAACATTTCACTGTTTGCTTTGGAAATTATATTGAAGCTCATTAGTTCTAACTTCGTGATGTTACAGTTCAGATGGCAAAGCCTCAGAGAGCTTGTGTGGGCCATACCTGGAAGGATTTCCCACAAACCAGTTCAGTGTTCTTTTCACTACCACATGTGCTATTAGCAATCCAAGTATATCTAGAAGAACACAAGAGAGTGGAGTAAACAATGAATTAAAATGGAAGAACTTTATTATTTATTAGCAAGTAACTCAGGTCTGTTGAGCCCCACTTTCCACATATATAAAATTAGAATCTTCCTCTCTATGCTGGAATGGAGTAGGTATTATATCATCAAATGATATAGTCTCCAGGAAAGGTAATTGAATGCTTAAAAGTGTTTTCTGAGTAAAAATACTTTGAATTGTATGTTTATATACTATAAAAATACATTTGCAGACTAAATTGAATTATTTAGTCATCATTCTCTATTTGGGCATTTCTCTTACTTAACATACAGCTATTCATTGAAAAACACCAAACAAACGGTACATATGTTTATATACCAAACACAATAGTCAATGCAGGAGATACAACGTTTAAAAAGAGATCACTTTCTGTTCAGAGTTTTAGTTGGCTAGACTGTATTCAAATCCTAACTGCTTTTGTTAACAATAGCTTTTCATAGTCACACATTCTATGCATAGCATAGTCAATGCTATGTAATTGGAGGAGGAAGGTATGAATGAGCAAAGATATGGGGTGGAAGACAAACTTGATTCCTTTTTTTTCTTTAAGCCTCACAGGTAATCCTTTAACCAATCCTGTTGGCTCTAAAATCTAACAAACCCAACTGATTTGTTAAAAACAGTTGTCTTTCATTCTCGACTTATATCATCTAAGAGAAGTCAATTTGACTTATTATTGCCTCTAAGATATACAATAGCCTCCTCAGTACAATAGTTTCTGCTTCAGCTTCTGGCCCTATATATTCTATTTGGCACAGATAAGTAAAAATAAACTTCAAAGCAAGCAAATAAGTCAGATTTAGTTGTAGCTGTTTAACCCCTCCTGTGGTTACCAGTGCACTGACAGTAACTTCTGGTCTCTCTGTGGTGGAGTGTGGGTGTGGGGCCACAGGTGACCTGGCTGCTACCTAATTCTCCAACTCATTTTATACCACACTTGAATTCAGCACACTTGCTCCCTTTCTATTGCTGGTGCAGGTCAATTATTTTCTGTCTCAGCACCTATAAACTTTCAGTTCTCTCTACCTGAACACTGTTTTATTCACCCTTTGCAAGGCCAACTTCATTTTGGGGGGTTATTTCCCAGTTCTGGGTTTCAATTTTGTCATCTCAAAGAACCCTTCCATTGCCACAATGCTTGTGGTCACTCCTCCTTTTTCAAAAAACATTGAGTGTCTGCTATGGACTAAATGTCTGTGTCCCCAAATGCTGAAGCCCTAGTTTAATGGTATTTAGAGCTGGGAGCTTTGGGTAGTAACTAGTTCATGTGCATAGAGACCCCAAGAAGGGATTAATATTTATTAATGTTTCTATAAGTAAATTCAGAGCTCACTCTCTTGCTTGTACTATCTCTCTCTCTGTCTGTCTCTCTCAGCCATGTGAGGACTCAGTGAGAAGACAGGAAGACAGCTATATACAAGTCAGAAAGCTATCCTCATTACATACCGCCTGTGTTGGCACCTTGACTGTGGACCTCCTAGCCTCTGGAACTGTGAATAATTATTGTTGTTTACATCGGTCAATCTATAGTATTTTTCATTATAGCAGCTTGAACTGACTAATACCATTCCTATAAACCTAGTCCTGACCAGTTCCTCTATATTGCATTGCTAAACTATTTTGTCCATAGCACTTAAGATAATTGTTATCTGTCTTATTTAGATATTAACGTACTTATTTATTCTGTCAATCCATAAGATTTTAACTTTCAAAAGGCAATAGTTTTGCTGCCCTCATATAAATGTTCCCAGAGCTAAGCCTATTGTCTGGTATTATATATATAATAAACAAATAATTTCACAAATATTTTTTGAGAACCATTTGTATCATTGAGTAAGCATAAGCTGCTGTCCTGTGCTAGAGGCTAGAAATGCAGCTGTGCACTAGACCTAACTAAACTCCTATGGAGAGGCTAATGTGTATAGCCTGTCTCTTCTTTCATCACACGCTGTTGCATATAGCTAAATAGTTTGTTTCCTTCTGCAATGCCACGGTTATTCCATAAAGCAAAAGAGTTTTTTTGTTTTGTTTCTCCTTTTATTTTGTCTTTTTTTCCTGCAGAGAAAGCACAGAGACACTTTTGTACATTTGTAACATATTTTTTGAGGTCAAGGCATTGCTAAGAAGTTTTCATAAAGACACCAAATATCTAGGGAATTTCTTATGCCACCCCTTCCAGTTCTCTCTTCTTCCTTATTAATTGTAAAAAAAAAAAACCCCAGAAATGTCTTCTTTTTATTTTACTAAAATGATACACTTTATTTCATTTTTATCCAGTTCTAAACAATTTTATTTTTTCACATTTTTTATTGTTGTGCAAGTCCAGTTATCTCCATTTCCCTGCCACCACTCCCCCCCACCCCAGCCATGCCCACTCCCCACCCTTGATCCTGTCACTGGCTCTGTCCATATGTCCTTATACATGTTCCTGGCAAATGTCTTTCCTGGAAAAAAAAGTTTTAAAGTGTAAATAGGGGTTAAATTAGAGGAAAGTTCAAAAAAGGAATTATTGGCAGAAGGAATGAAATTAAGATACTGGGTTGTTTAGAAAAAGACTAGCAGATATATATTTTTAATACTTGAATAAAAATTGCAATTATTAAAGGATAGCCATGTAATCAATCATCAAAAGCACTTGAGTATGTTCATTAGTTTTCCAGAGTTGCTATGACAGCTCTAGAAATATCCACATACTGGGTGGCTTAAATGACAGAAGTTTACTAGCTCATAATTCTGGAGGTTAAAAGTCCAAAATCAAGTTATTGGCAGATTTGGTTCCTTCTGAGGATTGTGAGGGAAGGATGTGTTCCAGGCCTCTGAACTTTGGTTGTAAATGACTCTCTTTTCCCTGTGTCTTTTTATTTATTTTTGTGATTCTATTATTTTTTATTTTTTAAGGATTTATTTGTTTGTTTGCCTATTTATTTATTTATTTTTAGTAGAGGGGAAGGAAGGGAGAAAGAGGGGGAGAGACATGTCAATGTGTGGTTGCCTCTTGCCCACCCTTACTGGGGATCTGACCTACAACCCAGGCATTTTCCCCAACTGGGAATCAAACCAGGGACCCTTTGGTTCACAGGGTGGGGCTCAATTCACTCAGCCACACCAGCCAGGGCTTTCTTGTATCTTTTTATATCATCTTCCTTCTGTTCCTATCATGATGTCAAAATTTTCCATTCTTGTAACACCAGTCATATTGAATTAGAGCCTACCATATTGCTCTCAGTTTACATTGATTAGTTCAGTAGAGACCTTATCTCAAAACACAGTTGTATTCTAAGCCACTGGGGATTAGGAATTCAATATAAAAATATGGGGGGAACAATTCAACCCATAATAGTGTGTCAAATGTTTCTGTGAACTATAAAGAATTGAAAATATTTCAAACATCCATATTCTTACATATTTCACTTGATTGCAGGGACTAAGAAAGACTATATAGAAATACATAATTTCTAGAAAAAAATTGTCCTCTTACTGCTCATATGACAATTATTTCAGAGGTACAAATTGGAATTGTTTGGAAGATGTTTTTATAAGCATTAATTGGGTAGAAAGCAGCCTTTGGAGCTCACAACTGAACTTGAAGTATAAGAATAAAAAAATTCCATAATAAAAGGGAGGTGGTAAAAGGAAGATTCATCTGTGAGGACTACATGGGAAGAGTCCTGGGGTGAAGGTAAGGCAGACTAGATCAGAAGGTAAAACATGGAAAAATATGTCTAATGTGGACATTATTGCGTTAGATTTTATTATGTATTGAAGTGAATTACCAGTATACTGTGCCATATCATTCTACTTTTTAATTGAGTCAAATAATGCCCAAAAATCATAATTCTCGGGAGAGGGTATAATTTAATCTGTAATGAATGACAGGTGAAGGTCAACATTGAGAAATATTCTAAGGATGCTCATTGTGTAAGATAAAAAGTGCAGGTCCTCATTATAGAACATTGAGACATGATTAAAAATCAAAGAATCTACCAATTTTTCTTGAAAACATCCTATTATAATGGTACATCAACTAAGAATTATTACTAATATTTTTGTTACCATTTTTATTTCAGAGAAATTATATATAATTTCAGTACACAGTAAAAGTACAGTCAATTTTTTGACAAATGTCAATTAGAACTCTGTAAATTAGGTTTTTGTTTTAAAGATATACATTGCTGCCAACTGACTTCATTGAGTTAAATCTTTGTCTAAATTTTTTTCTTTACTTCTCTTTCTTCTTCTTGTTCTTCTTGTTCTTCTTCTTGTTCTTCTTCTCCTCCTCTCCTCCCCCCTCCCCCTCCCCTCCCCCTCCCCCTCCCCTCCTCCTCCTCCTCCTCCTCCTCCTCCTCCTCCTCCTTCTCCTTCTCCTTCTCCTTCTCCTTCTCCTTCTCCTTCTCCTTCTTCTTCTTCTTCTTCTTCTTCTTCTTCTTCTTCTTCTTCTTCTTCTTCTTCTTCTTCTTCTTCTTCTTCTTTCTTCTTTTCTCCTTCTCCTTCTCCTTTTTCTTCTCTGTGTGTGTGTGCCAGGGGAGAGCATGAATGCATTCTCCCATTACCACAAATTATGCAGTCGAGTTTCCCACATTTGGGGAATGTCAAGGTTCAGTACATCCAGAGTGCAATGGTTAACTCTCACCCTGGGAAAACCACCTTTGTGGTCATGGTATCTACCTGCCAGGTAAGTATTTCTTTTTTCTATTTTCTTAACCTTTTAATGCAGACCACTGTCCACTTTAACTATTGTTTTTGTCTTGGCTCCCATTCTGCCAGTGTTGTATTCTAAAATAATCACATTTTATTATGAAAAGCAATATTTATTGTCATAGCATATTTGTAAAAGTAAATCACATTTAAATAGAAAACATATCAAGGCTCATAATAAAAATAGACACTTCATTACACCAATAAAAAAGAAATTGTAAGCATTGTTCATTCAAGCAAATATGTGTCCATTTTTAGAAACAATAATTTTAATTGCTTGTGTTATTAATTCTTCTAGAGTAAGTTTTTATAAAGCTGTTTTAAAATTTGACAGCATTAGATTTAATCAATCAGCACATCAATAAGATAAATGAAGATTTAGCTTATTTTTAGCAATACCCTTTCATTTTTCCATCACTTCCAATGCAGTTTCAGCACCTTTTTCATCTCTCAGTTGGGAAACATGGTTACTTAAATAATTTACGTATAAACAGACATTTTTTTCTTCAATCAAAGACATTATCTTGATTCTTATCTTTGGAATTTAAAGATACTAATATCTACCTCTATATTCCTTTTATTCTATATTCTCTTTTATTGCTAAAACAACAAAATTTAACCATATCTACTTTTACATTTCAAATGTCTTATTGCAATGACTACTTTTATGCTTAGTCTTTAGATTCATATGTATGCATTATTATATGCTTGGCCATCATTATTATATCATTATATGTTTGACTATGTAATGTTTCAAAGCCAAGTATTGAGATTCATTTTCTTTATTTTAACATTTTTTTCATTTTCTTGGAGTTCTAGTTGCCTTCTATTAGTGCATTCTCTTATTATTTGTGAAATAATTTAGGATATTTCCTTTACCATTCTCTTTATTGTATGTAAATGTGAGTTGGATAACAGTGGAAACAAGGAAAACAATTAAGAGGCTGATGTCATGTACAAGTTGAGGTACAAAGGAAGCTTAAATGACAAGAGGGACAGTAAGATCAGCTCAAATCCATCATTATTATGAGTAAAACAGACAGAAGCTCCGCTCACCATATAGTGTGGTGGTAGCATCATTTTGCATAGCAAGTATTGCACAGTATCATTATATTTTCTCTCACACAAGTACTAAGTTTAAAGATCAAACCACCACCCTAGGTCACAGAGATTGCACAACTGACAAATGTGGTAAGTGTGCACGCACACACACTAATTCTTCAACTATTAGTATAGTGGTATAGCATACTTCTATTGTTTTTAGTAGTTGCACTAGCATTTTATTATTTTTAAAAATTAAGTCATGGGGATAAAAAATCTCTGAATTATCATGAATTAGGTGCTTTTTAACAATATGTATCCTTAATAGATAGTCATTAATTGGAGTATACATGTGTTGGGGGGGTGCAGTGGTTAGTATTTATAAAGGATGACCTTGACATGTTTTATGATGCCTCCAAAGCAATTACTGCAGAAACTGAGATGGAAAACAATGGCAAAAACCAGATAGAACTGCTTGAGTAGGTCCAAAGCACAGACATTGCTCAGAAGCACTTGATGTCAGTTAACTTTTAATGAGGAAAGGTACTAGGTAATTAAATCTTGTCATACAACTATGAAAAAGAGTATCAGGTAACAATCTTGCTATGCAATATAAAAGAAGAAAAGACATTTTCTGAAAACTTGCCCGATGCTCTGTCATCTGAAACTATTCTTTATGAGTGCAGGGTGAAGGTCAAGGAGGTATCTCAACTCCATCAATCCTTTGGACAGTTACAAATGACCTTTCACTTTCCATAAGACATTCAATATTCTGAATTGGAGGGATACATTTTTCTGTGTTTAGAAAATGGCAAAATTGAAACCTTTCCCTTTGCAGGAGAAGCACCTCTGTAGACTTTCTTGAACAGACTATTCATTCCCAAAGCTCAGTGTTATGCTCATCAACAGAAATTGTTCTATTGCTAAATAATTTTTATTAAAGTTTTAAAAACCCAACACTGGCCTGTTAGAGGATGATAATTTCTTCTTTGAAATACTTATTTAGTATTTAGTATCATTTTTTACTTCAGAAAAGTAAGCCATGAATATCATATTTACATTAGAAAGCTAATAAAGGGAATGGAAGCAAAATCTTAATTCCACAATCTTTTTTTCATATCTGATATTCTTTAAAATGGTTATTTTGAGTAACAATGAAAAGACATTTAAAAAGTTTCAGTTCAGAACTAAGACTTCTGCTCTAATAAATTCAGATCTTTTACAATCCTTACTTTTTTCTTCATTTTCCATATAAAAGGTCACAGTAATCAAGCTGTCATCAACTTACGGAATATATAGCAGTGTAGCCACTGGCTAAAATTACATTTATAGGTACCTTAAGATAACACAACACTTATACTATACTTATGAATACATGCATTGTGACACATAGTTACAAAGTTAAAGGCATTAAAATATGCTTGACAATAGTTAAAAGAGTAAGGCATTTTATTTTTCACTTATTTACTTAATCATCCCCTTAATGTAAAATTATTGGGAATCTGCTATGGGCTAGAGGTTGCTATAGGTACTGGGATGCAGAGAGGGAGAGACAGAGAACATCTCTGTTCTTACTGAAGTCTCACTATGGACAGATGAAAAAGTACACAAGCAAATATATAAATAATATTATTCCAAATACTGCTCAACCCTTTGGAAAAAATAAAACAGGTAATGGATAGATCATGCAAAATCAGAGCAGGGGATTCTATTTTACACAGTGTGATCAGGGAAGCTTTTAATAAACTGTGTACTCTGCCTGATATTAGAATTGAGAAACAAATATATGTCATCTAATGAGTAATTGATGACATACAATTAATGACATCTAATTGATCACTGAGTGCATTCTTCCCAAAGTGATTCGTAGTGATTTTCACTGTTCTTGTTATTTATTATTTTAAAAGAAAAAGATAGTTTTTGTTCATTGACTAATCTTACAGAATACAGAACATACTTATTTCCTTAAATTGTTATATTGTCTACAATACAACTGTAAAGAAATTAATATTTTTCATGTAATAATTTTTAAGTTAAAATTTAGAAGTTAATGTAGCAGATATGTGTTTTCATTTTCTAAATGTCTTTTGTTTTTTTGTAAACTACACAATTCATTGGAAATTATTATAAAATTATTCAAAATCCCATAGTAAATTATACAAAAGAATATGCATTATTCTAAAATGGTATTTTGTTTTTTGAAGATTACATGGTAATTGTGTTCTCTTATCTTAAATTTCTATATAACATGAAAGGCTTAATCTGATAGGCAGAGAATATTTTTTGTTGGCCAATAAACATATACGTACAGATAAGATGACTCAAAGAGAATTAGCAAAGCAAAGACAAAAATAATGAAATGATGGTGGTTGATATTCTTAAAAGTTAAAAACAGTTTTAAAATTTCATTCAGGTAAAATAAGTTTACTCTATGATAAATTGTGATGAGTTCTATATGCAAGTTCTGACTTGAATGTCAGAGTATACAGTTGGTTTCATGTTAGTTGACCCAATGATTGTGCCGAATTATGAATGCAATACTGTTACTGTATCAGCTCAGAGAAAAAAAACTGTCAATGGCAAATTAAATGTAGGTATGAAAAAATAACAAACTTGAAGATTAAGATTTAGTTGTAGCAAGATCTATTTTCAACAGAAAAAACACTCTATCCTTTTATACTTCAGATTGACTTTCAATTTATAAATAATAATTTTTATTTTTGCACATTACAAACTGAGATTAAAAAAACTCTATTGGCACATTAGACTGAGGTGAATCAGAGATCTTAGCCAGTATCCAAATTTCCTAATAAACTCAAGGATACACATAAGAGACACAGGTAAAATAGAAAGAAAGTGTTCTGGGATCTTTCATGCACTAGGATGCAATGTGACCCAGATTAAGCTGTGAGATCTTCAATGAGGTCATGCAGCCACAACATGTATGTATGTGGAAGGAACCATTTTGGTCATGATCCATCTCAATTTTACATTTAGTTACATAGCTTATGTAACATTCTCTGTGGTGCCAGAAAGATTCCCCTCACATGCATTTGCAGTCACCAGGTTTGCAATGCTAGCCAAGCAGGTATGTTCTAGTGCATTGATAGATAAGCATTCTCCTGTTAGCCAGTTCTGAATTTCTTTTAATGGGGGTTCTATAATTAGCCTGTTTAGAAGAAGATTTGACTGCATCAGATTCTTTCTATCCCTGGGATATCACACTTTCACTCTCCTCCACCAGGAAGTTTGCGTAAAACAGAGCTTCTGTTTAACCATTTATTTCCTACGAGTGAACTGCTATACTTATTTCAAATAAGTATAAATAATTCATTACTGGTTCATTGGCTTAAAAACCCACTTTTAAAAGATTTTATCTATTTATTTTTAGAGAGAGAGGAAGGGAAGGAGAATGGGGGAGAAATATCAATGTGTGTGGTTACCTCTTCCACATCCCCTAGTGGGGACCTGGCCTGCAACCCAGGCATGTACCCTGACTGGGAATTGAAACAGTGACTCTTTGGTTCACAGCCCTCAATCCACTGAGCTGCAACATCCAGGGCCAAAGAAAAACTCTTAATGTGGAATAATGAGGAGTATTCCTACTAGCATGACTCTATAAGGGAATGTGGAATTTTCTTCCATCATCCTTCTCTATCTCATCAAGAGGAAAACCTAGCTCCATCTCCAAATAATAAGGATCGTTGTAATAAAATCATTGCTATAATTCATAAAAATGATAGTTTCAATACTATTCTTATATATTCAGCTTGAAATTTATTAAACATTAAATAAAGAAAATAATTTCATCCAGTTACATTTCTGTGTAGTTGGCAAATACTCTAAGAGAGCGCATCTTGGTCAAGGGCCCAGTTCTGCAGTCCCAATGCCTACATTAAGATCCAGCTTGGCTGCTTAAACTATGTGATGCTGGTAAAGTTCTT